CCAGCATGTAAGGATGCTGCGGTGAAGGTAGCGCGTCTTTCGAGGGCAGAGGCAACCATGCAAACAATGTCATGATGTTGCTATGAAATGCAGTTTTGCCTTGCAGCGCGTTGTCTCCACGGGCAGCAAATCCCGCAGCGTGAGGGTCCTTCCACTTTTTTGTGTCCTTGCCTGCACACAATCGGTGTCGGCTCCTGTCCATCTCTTCGCCGCTGAGTCACGGACATAGTCCTCGCGGTCCCGTTTGCCTAAACCAGTGTCACTATAAAGAATATGTGGCCTAATTTCATCGGGATCGGAGATGGCGGCTCCATAGTGCACAGGTGCCCCACACGTGAGACAACCCAACGTCCCAATGCGATTACGGCAATCTTGGCTGCATAGCATGCACCCTTCGCCCCAGGCATGAGGCGCGCATAGCGCGTCTTTCTTCTGTGTGGAAGCGAGCTTATCACCAAGGTCCAGATCGGGGATGCGGTACAGCTCTTGATGCTGGTTTGGATGGGGTCCTCTTCCTCTTCGTCTTCCTCCTCCTCCTCCGCCTCATTATCCTCCTTCTCCTCCTTCTCATCATCATCATCATCATCATCACCACCACCACCACCACCACCACCACCATCATCATCATCATCATCATCATCATCATCATCATCATTATCAATTATCATCATCATCATCATCATCATCATCATCATCATCATCACCATCATCACCACCACCACCACCACCACGACCACCACCACCACCACCACCACCACCATCATCATCATCATCATCATCATCATCATCATCATCATCATCCTCATCATCATCATCATCATCATCATCATCATCATCACCACCACCACCACCCACCACCACCACCACCACCACATCATCATCATCATCATCATCATCATCATCATCATCATCATCATCATCATCATCATCATCATCATCATCATCATCATCATCATCATCTTCCTCATCATCCTCCTCATCCTCCTCATCCTGAAACACGGAACCTCGTGGCGTGAGAAATCGTCGAATGCCGTCCCCCAAATCCAGGGCCGGTCGGCCCTGGCGGGCTGATCAAACTAGGGCCAAGTGACCTTTGGAGCACCGATCCAGGGGCCACAGGCGCGCGCGCGTAGTTTTACGCGTATGAGCAGAAGTGACAGAGACAGAAACATCGACAAGCAGGAGGAGACAGGGAGAAAAGGGGAAAATCATGACCCCAAGAGGGAAAGAGATGGAGACTGGTCGCGGAGGCATGGCTAGACCAGACCGTCGAGGCTGCGCGATCATGCCGAGTGCGGCGGTCGCCGATGATGCAGTGTCACTCCCCATCCTCTAGGTGGCGACTGCGAGACTACAGGAGCTGTCCTAGGTGGCATCCAGCTGCAGCGGTGAAGGTGGCAGAAACCTGGCCGGCCCCTCGGCGCGCCTATGCTGAAATCACACCCCGTCCTCGAAATGACGGCTGCGAAGCCGCACGCGCTGTCCTCGGCGGCGTGGCAGCTGCTGCAGTAGGACCTGCGGTGGGCTGTCCTAGGTAGCGTGGCAACTGCGGTGGTAGCAGAAACACGGCAGGAGGCCAAGTGTGGCGCGGCGGTCGCCTACTGTTAAAAATCCACCCCGTTCACTAGGCGGCGGCTGCAGGCTGCGGCGAGCTGTCCCAGGCGGCGCGGCAGCCGCCGCGGTGGGGAGGGCAGGGACACGGCTGAAAGCGCCAAAGCGGCGCGAGATGTGGTGAGACGTGGCGGCGAGGGACGGGCGGGAGTGGGGTAACCGGCGTGGCAGTGGCGCGGCGAAGCAGGCGGCGCCCAGGCGTTTGCGGCGGCGGCGCGCACTGGCCACGCTCGCCGCTCCCTCTGCTCACAGAAGAAGTCCCCCAGAGGCGTCCCCGAGGCCAGCGGCGCGATCCCTCGCCTGCTACTAGGCGTAGGGGATCCACCGAGTGTGAGGGAGGTTTGGGCCTTCCCGGCGGTGGCATAGCGCCACGCTCGCCTAGGGCTGCGTGGCCAGGCCACACACGCCAAGGGGAAGGCATAAATACCTCTCTCCCTGCACATAGGAAATCCCCGAAGCGACCCCCATTCCCGCGACTGGCACCCTCCCCTGCAACGCAGGAGCAGGGTGCCCAGATATTGGAAGTGGGGGCCGCTTGGGGGATCTCCAACGTGCGTGGGGGAGGTTTATGCCTTCCGTGGCGGCGGCGCTGTGACGGTTGACGTGACCCCTCCACCCCGCCGTGATCGGATTCCCAAAACCCACCTTTAGTTGCGCAACCCGTGGCTGCGGCTCTGGCGAGGGAGGCTAAGTCAAGGTTGTGGAATGATGCCAGATGCGCTGTGGCCGCGGCCGCGCTGGCCCTTACAAGATCGGCCAGCGGTAGTTTGTACCCGCCCCCTGCCCAGGTACACCGCCCGTTCCCCCGCCACAAAAGAGGGGTGGTGGGAGGTTAGCGAGATGAAGCGGGGGGAGGGGGACTTCAGGAAGGTGAGCTGGGAGGGAGCGAAGGTTGGAGGTGGAAGGCGCCTTCACGATGTGACTCACTCGTCCCGCATGTGGGTGAGAAGGCCCCGTAGGGGCCCACATATCATGTGCGTCGATTGATGCAGCCTGCGTGGGTGAGAAAGCCCGCTCCGGGACCCACATCGGCATATCAACGAGAGCTGTGTCGCGCGTCTGGCGCGTGGCTTGCTGCTGCCGCCGAAGTAGAGGTAGGTAGGTGGCCCACTGTCCTCAGACTGCCTCTGGAGAGGGGATTCGCGTAATTTCAACCAGCTGTGTTGCTGCCGATGATGTCGGTGAGTGCGTACGTCTTGGCGTAAGGATAACGCCGAGATGGGAACAGGTATGGAGCGGCTGGTGCGAAGACATGTCTGCCTCAGAGCAAAACTGGTCAAAACTGCTATGTGAGAGGTGACGCACTGGTGGGCCGCCGTTCGGCTGGTCCCATCCTGAGGCTGGCGCCTCAGGGTTGTTGGTGATCAGGGGGGAGTCGCCTGATTCACCTGGGGTCGTTGTCGAGTCGGTCGAGTTGGCACGCGCCTTCGTAAGATGGCCACGGCTGCCGCCCCTTGTCGTCTTCAGTCGTCGTACCGAGCTCGGCGTTGTCGGCCTGTCGGTGGTGCTGCCCCACTGGGTCTTCTTGCCCTTCACCCTGCGGATGAGTCGTTGGCGTCCGCAAGTCTCCAGGTTTGCTTGGTTCGATGTGGTCGGTGGCTGGCGTTTGGTCGGTGTGGTCGATGAACAAAGCGTGAAGATCCGCGCGCATCTGATCGTGGTCGTTGTGAGTCACGTGAGCCAATGCCAGCTGGGCGTATGCCTTGGGGTTGTGAGGCTGCAGAGGGTCGGTCGCTTCTTCTGCGGTGGGAGTGGTTCTCCGCCCCATATATGTTACGAATTGAGCCAGAGCTTCCTCCAAGCGGTTGATCCTCGCGAAGGTGTTGACAAAGCTGGCTTTATCGTCAAGGATTCGTGGTTGCTTTGTCAGGTTGTCCTGGTGCTGTTGATAGTTGTGTGGATTGGAGGTCGTGACTGTGCTGGGCTCACTCCTTGCTGCCTCTTGCCCTTCCGAAGGAGCATCCAGGCAATTACACAAAAAGCTCTAGGGGCTGGTGCAACCGAGCAATGTCATCATAATCCCCAGCATCCTCGCCTTCCTCCTCCTCCTCCTTCTCCTCCTCCTCCTCCTCCTCCTTGCCCTCATCGTCCTCGTCCCACCTGCTAATCCTCATCGCCACCCTCCTCCGGCGGATGCTCCTCCACCTCCTTGTCCTTTGGATCCACCTCCATCTCCCACCTCCTCGTCATACTCAACATGTGTCCTTCTGATCCTCAACCCCGCTCGCATCTTCTATCCCCACCCTCCTCCTCCTTCCTCCACCGCCCTCCTGATCAAGAGCGTCCTTCTCCACGTCGAACTTGCGTCGGTCCCCCCCCCGCCGCCCACAGCGTGTACAGCTCCAACACTATAGCGAGGTCCAGACGAACCCGCAGGCCCTGCATGCCCGAGGACAGCCCAGCATGTATGAGTTCCGATGGTCCCACACCATACAGCACCACCTTGCACGGCCCTCAGATCCGCACCGAAAGCAGCCACTCAGTCCCTCTGACCCGCATCGTCAAGGAGCACGGTGTTCTTGCGTGTACTATTTGCGGGCCTCCCGGGGCGGCCTCGCTGCCACGGCTGGAGGCGCCTCGAGATTATATCATCCCTTCCCTCCCTCCTTCCCTTTCAGCCCACCTCCTTTCCCCTCTTGCCTCTTGACCCTCCTGTCCCTTCCGTTCCGTTCCCTCATTCCCCGTTCCTGCACCTCCCTCCTTGCGCCTTCCCAAGATCCCCCTTGTGCGGCGCACGAAGATCAAGGAAATCAGGACGGGGGCCTCGGATGCGCTTGGGCCTTTCCATAGCACTTACGTGCAACCCGAAATCAACGCCGCACGATAAAGGGAGACGGCGAAACAGCTCGTCAGCGAGGAAAGGCCGTCCATGTTGAGGAATAGACACGATCGCCGCGTGGAATGACAGGGTGTGTTCCGACCAGCCCGTTGCACTGAAAGCTGCACGGGGAGAGAACACAGGATACGTAGGTGCTTGCACAGAGCTTGCTCAACGGGTCTGCGTCCTTTTTCCGAGGCCCGTGCGTGCATTTTGCTCCCCGCGCGTCATGAACCGGCAATGCGGCGGGCGGTAGAAAACATCATCTGCTACGTCACTGGCCTTATGGTGTCCCATTTCCCACTGCACACTCTGGCTGACTATCTCGTTCCCTTCACCCGCCTCTACCTACTTATCTCACTCCTCCTGATCAGTCTCTGCATCCCATATGATTACCATCATCCTGCGTGCATGGATAAGGCCAGCAGCAAATTGCGATATGATTTCGCGGGAACGGTGAGGAGCAAAGGATAACAAGCACAACTCAGCAGGCCTCTGCCCAGAGACGACTCGCATGTCATGGCAGGTTTATCGACTGGCACAAAGATTGGAGCTCGATGCATGGCCTGGCCTGCTTCAGCTGGCTGTGGGTGCGCGAGGAGTACCAGATGCGCGGGCAGGCGTTCGCCTGGCTAGGTCCCAGCATGTGCATGCTCACAGATGTGCACGTATGGATGCATAGCGCACTCGTGTAAAAGCGGAGGCTCGCGTGTGTGTTCTTATGGGTGTCCGACACCCGTACTGGAGCCAGTCTGCCTAACACCAAAACACCAAAGAGATATCGGCGTCAATTCCGTTTGCACACATTGGACTGCGCACTAATCGTGGGCGCATGCGCACGGGTGCAGTTGCGAACGCATGCTGCGCACACTTTTGGCGGTCGCGGCCTCGCGCGCAGCGACGAGGCGGAGCAAGTAGAGCACTCGGCACCGAACCAGCGCGCGCAGCCGGGCAGGGTAGGGAGTGAGAAAATCGAGACAGCGTCCGGAGAACGGGGACGACAGTACCGGACGAACGACACCGACGAGGGTTGCAACAGTGACCGGGCGGAAACCCGAAGCGACGGGAGGCTGGCCGCGGCCCAAAGGAGGGGGCGACAGAGTGTGGAGCACCACGCAGTCCGAAAGGGGGAAGACGGGAGGGGGAGGCAGAGGCAGCGCGGCGCTGCGGGTAGGAGAGCGGAACCCTGGGTTAGCGCTTGGAGCAAGGGGCAGGACGACTCGGCCGCGAGAGGTCCCTGGAGGGACCCCACCATGCTGCGTACACGCGCGCTACGTCTGTGCATAAGGGCGTACGCGGCTCCAGTGCACACCGTTTGGGGACCCTCTTGGGCAGTCTCGGGGCTAGCTGGGGATCTTCTTGGGCCGTCTTGGGGCGATCGTGGGAGTCATTCAGACTATCTTGGACGCTCGGAAGACCAAAAACGAGAATGTTGAAATCCTGAAAAAATGCTGGAAGGCAAAAATGATTACCTCCCAGGGGACTCTTGGGAACTCTCTCGGACCGCGGGATACCGAGGTCCCACCACATTTTACGTCGGGGCTGCGGCCAGGGAACCTGTGGCCCCAGTCCCTTATACGAATCCGCCGACCCTGTCGGCGCATGTATGGGGGAGTTTCTGGGTGGTCGTCTGGGGGTGCCCTGGAATACGCTTTTCCATTATAAGCTCCCCCTTTCCCTGCGGCCACATGTGGCTCTCTCCAAGTTCGCCAGCCCGAGGTGAAACAATCCAGGTCGAAAGGGCAGCCCATGTCCCCACAAGAGACCCACAAGAGGCCCCAAGACGCACCCGTGTGGGCCAGAAAGGCCCCCCAAGAAGCCCCCCAAGATCACCCTAACTATCCCCACGGACTCTGGAAAACGACCCAGGCACTCTGTTAAACGTTTGCCTTCACAGTAAAGCCGCCACTGCCCCTTGCCCCCGTCCCTTTTCCGCGTCGTACGCCCAAACTGTTCACTTCCCAGGGTCAATTACATATATATATATATATATATATAAAAATGTGAAAGGAAAGAGAGAGAGAGAGAGAGATAGATAGAGAAAGAGAGAGAGAGAGAGAGAAAAAAAGAAAGAAAGAAAGAAAGAGAGAGAGAGAGAGAGAGAAACGTATGAACACGCCGTGGTGATTGCCAAAAGGCTCCTCAGAAGGCTGCGGCGCCCACTTCCGTGCCAGCAACGATCGAGGCGAGCGCGCGCCCACAAATGCGAACGCCCGCGCCGACTAGGCTCTGGTAAAGAGCAGAGAATCGGCATCTCCACGCCGGGCGGCGCCGACTTAGCCCAATATCTGGCAGAGACGGACGAGCCGAGGACAAGGACCTATCTCGCATCCTATGGCACGTCGACATTGGAGAGAGCGTGATCCACCGCCGCTTTACTGTGGAAAATTGCCAACCTTTTCCTCCGGAACCCGGGGGTCTCCCCCCCACCCCCTCCGAAAATCCCCCCCCCTGCCGGAACCCCCCCCCCCCCCCCCCCCCCCCCCCCTCCCCCCCGGCAAATACCCCCCCCTCCCCTAACCCCCTCCCCCCCCCCCCCTCCCCCTCGAAAACCGGGGGGGTCACTACCGGTTCGAACCCCTCCCCCCCCCCCCCCCCCTCCGGATCCGGAAAACCGGGGGGGGTCACTACCGGTTGGAACCCCCCCCCCCCCCCCCTCCCCCCTACTCACCGCCAGCAAACGACTCCCGGTCCCCACCACCGTCCGCATCACATCCCCCACTGGTGTTCCCAGCACCACTGTCCTCACCACCGCTGTCCCCACTGGTTCCACCACCGCCCCTACTGTCCCCACCAGTGGCCCCACCACTGTCGCACTGTCCCCGCTGTCCCCAGAACTGTTCCCACCACGGTTCCACTCTCCCCACTGTCTCCACGGCCCCAACCACTGCCCGACTATCCCCACTGTCCCCACTGTCCCACTGACTCCTCCGCTGTCCCACTGAGCTGTCCCACTGTTCCCACCACTGTCCCCACTGTCCCCACCACTGTCCCCACTGTACCTCTGTCCCATTGTCCCACCGCCGTCCTCGCCACCGCCTTCACCACTGTCCCCACCACCATTGTACCCTCCACTGTCCCACTGTTTCCACCTCATTCCCATTGTCCCCACACCACTGTCCCCACCACCACCGTCACCACCACTGTCCACTGTCCCCCCCTGTTCCCACCATTGTCCCCACCACTGTCCCCACCACTACCGTCCCCACTACTGTCCCACTCCCCACTGTTCCCACCACTGTTCCCACCACGGTTCCACTCTCCCCCACTGTCTCCACGAACCCAACCACTGCCTATCCCCACTGTCCCCACTGTCCCACTGACTCCTCCGCTGTCCCACTGAGCTGTCCCACTGTTCCCACCACTGTCCCCACTGTCCCCACCACTGTCCCCACTGTACCTCTGTCCCATTTTCCCACCGCCGTCCTCGCCACCGCCTTTACCACTGTCCCCACCACCATTGTACCTTCCACTATCCCACTGTTTCCACCTCATTCCCACTGTCCTCACCACCACTGTCCCCACCACCACCGTCCCCACCACTGTCCAGTCCCCCCTGTTCCCACCATGGTCCCCACCACTGTCCCCACCACTGCGGTCCCCACCACTGTCCCACTGTCCCACTGTCCCCACCACTGTCCCGCTGTCCCCTCGCCACTGTCCCCACCAACACCGTCCCCACCACTGTCCGCACCCCCACTCGGTTTTCGAGGGGGGGGGGGGGGGTTCGAACCGGTAGTGACCCCCCCCCCTTTTCATGATGAACGGGGGGGGGGGGGAGGGGTTCGAACCGGTAGTGACCCCCCCCGGTTTTCCGGAGGGGGGGGGGGGGGGGGCGGAGGGGTTCGAACCGGTAGTGACCCCCCCCGGTTTTCCGCCAGCAGCGGTAGAACACGCTCTTTCCGACATTGGAAAGCCAACGAGAGGACGGAAGGGCGCGTACGGACGGACCGCGGCGCTATCGCCTTACGATTAAAAAGTGTACGGCCGCTTCAGGGGTTCGTTTGGTGGACGTTTTAGAAACGGTGTTGTGGCACGGTTTAGTTGTGTCAGGACGCATCAGTCACGTTGATCTGCGGTGTTGAAGTCCTTGAAACGGCGTTCTGGCACAATCATTATTGGCAGGATGCAACAGTCACGTTGGTTCGCAGCGCTGAAGTTTCAGGAGCTGTGGTTCGGCACGATTCAGGACTATGAGACGGAAGTCGCGGGGCCCGCTGCCAGCCTCCCGAGAGGGCCTGCCGAGGAGACCCCCAAGGACCGAGGGGGCCGCTGGCCCCCTAGAAACGAGGGAGGGGGAGCGCGGAAAGGGGGATCGGATCGGATCGGATCGGAACGAAGGATCATCGTCAGCCTGTTGGAAGCGTGCGAATAAGCGGCAAAACTTCCGCAGTCCCATCTGCACAAACAAGAAAGCGTGCCAGTCAACGCCGTCCACCACAGCTGCACAAAGACAGGTTCACGCATCGAGATAATGACACTGACTCCGACTGAGGTTACCGGACAAGTGGCACAAAGAGGAAAGAAGCACTGAAGAGTGATAGGGGGCACATCGGATGTCTAGGACCTCAACGAACAAACTGCGAGAACCTGCAACGAGTCAGAAACTGATCCATAGAGGGGGAATAAGACAGCTCCCTGAGAGCTCGATACCGTGGGGGGAAGCACCGACTTGAATGCTAACCACCAGAGGAAGGGAAAAACGAGAGACTAGACCGCTACCCAAGGGGCGCGCTAGCGGAGCAAAAGGATGAGAGCTCAGTTTGGCCATGGACCTCAGCACCAAGCAGCTTCGCAGGTGCCAGGACGCGGTGCACACAGCCTACAAGGAAGTGAACAGCGACATGGACAGGGCAAATGACGTACAGCGGGGAGAGCGGAAAGTTTGGAACGTCTATGGTGGCCAATCGTAGCTCACAGCGGAACTACGACGACCAGGTTTTCAGGCCAGGGCGTTCGGATTCCACAATGGCTGTGACTTAAGCGACACGCACACGCAGCTGTAGTTCCTCTGGATGATCGAGCAGGAGGAGCCAGACGACGTCTGGATGAGTCCCGAGTGCAGGTTGTGGTCAACGATGCAGGAGATCAGTTGCAAGACCGAGGACGACCGCACGAGCCTGAAGGCAAAAAGGATAGTATTATTATACATACCTGATGTGCTGCGGGAAGATCTACCTCGCGCAGTGGGATGCAGGTCGAGACGCGCATGTGGAACAACCCGCAACGGCGAGAAGCTGGAAGACGAAAGCTCTGTACAACCTTCCTGGACATCATGTGCTACTCGACCAGTGCATGACCGGCTTGGAGCTACCAGGAGAAGGACCCGCACGCAAGGGGACTGGAATTCGCACCACCAAGCGGTGTCTCGCCGAAGGTCTGTACCACCACCAGCGCAGCAAGGATCACGACCACGTGCAGCTCGAGGGCAGGATGCCGGACACGAACATGCACAGGAAACAGTTTGCAGAGAACTACGGCATCCAGCGGGCGAAGATACTGAGCGGCCTGCTGAGCAAGCCGAACACGCAGGACGCATCCTTCCTCGTGCTGGGGCTCGGGGACGAGAACCCCGTGGAGCACATCTACCACACCACGGTGAACCTCAACGACGAGAACGTGAAGGACATCTACGCCAACAGACTCTTGAAGAGCGAATTTGGCCAGAACGTGTTCGGGTACGTGGAGCGTCTCCACAAGAGACTGGGCCACTCCAGCACTGAGATGTTCGTGCGCAGGCTGACGGCAGCCGGTGCGGGCGAGGAGGTCATCCAGGGTGCCAGGCGCTACGTGTGCTCGGTCTGGGCTGAGCGGCGCAAGGCGTCACAACCACTCAAGAGGGCACCGACGAGCTGGAAGTCCTTCAACCAAGCCCTCTACCTTGATTTCTTCGAGTTCAAGCTGCGAGCAGGGTCGGCCAAGATCGTTCACATGATGAACGGAGCCTGCCGATTCCAGAAGGGTCGAATCGTGGTTCGTCCATCGAGAAGGCCTGGATCAGACACTACAACACGCCCACCAAAATGCTCGTCATGAACGAGTGTGGGGCCGCGTGCAGCCAAGAGATGCTCGACTGGGCCAGTCAGCACAATATCGAGATGCGCGTGGCGCCTGGAGAGGCTCACCACGTGCTTGGACCCATCGAGCGAGCGCACCAGGTACTACGAGAGACGCTCGAGCTCTGGTTCGAGGAGACCGGCCTCGAGCGCAACATCAAGAACCTGAAGACGGCGCTGGACTACGTACCCAACCAGATCAACTGGATGATGCACCAGAAGGGCTACAGCCCGGCACAGTGACGACTCCCTTTCCACCGACACGCTGCACATGCCCGCCTCGGAGGCCTACCTCGAGAAGGGTTTCCAGCAGGCGATGCGATATCGAGCAGCAGCAGCGACCGCCTTCATCAAGGCGGACTCGACGGAGCGTATACGCAGGGCTTCCCTACGCAAGAGGCGCGACACTCACGACTCCAGTCAGTGTGGGTGAGGTGTGCTACTATTGGCGCGACCGCGGCGCCAGCCGACTCTAGAAATCCCGCTGGAGGGGCCCAGCTATCGTGGCTCTACGTGAGGACGGCGAGAATGGCCAGCCCAAGGTGTACTGGATCACGCATGGCAGAAGTTCGTTGCGATGCAGTCCCGACCAGATCCGACAAAGCGTGGAGACCATCGGCTAGGCAAAACGATCGGAGAACCATGCTCAAGCTACACTCCAAGGCCTACGACGTGGAGGCATCGTGCAGTTCTTCGACGTCAGCCAGCTGCCCGGGCCGACGGAGAACGACCTCTTTCAGCCTATGGACGCCTCCGAGGAGCCCGAGCCAGGCCTGGGAGACGTAGGCGGGGCAGTGCCGACACCCGAGCAGGTCATGGCGGACCAGCTTCGACAGGTGTCAGGTACCCAGAGCTCGGTGCCACAAGCCAAGCTAAGGTCACCAAGTCGACTGACGTAAGAGCCAAATGAAGCACCGGCAGAGGCAGTTGCGATTCCTGCAGACGACGACGCCGATCTGGAGGAGGAGCCGACAGCGCCAGCACCAACACCAGCGGCAGGAAGCGGCCCAGCCACGAACACTGCAGCGCAGTTCCGCATGGCTCGACGCAACCTTGATGCAGCAAGATGGGGCCCATCAGGACGTTTGCTGCTCAGCGTGAGCTAAGGGCTGAACCATACGACCGACTGGAGGTGCGGCAGCACAACTTGACGTTTCTGAACTCCGAGGCAATACCGAAGGGGTAGAGCTTTGACGGCGAGGCCGTGGAGTTCTACTTAGATCATGAGGTGTGCTACGCGGCAAGCGAGCTCACCGAGAAGCACATGACAGCGGAGGACAAGGCCAAGTTCGGGGAAGCGAAGCGGAAGGAGCTGCAGAGTTTTTCGAGAACCAAGTTTGCCAGCAGGACGTGAACGAGAGTACCGACGCCAACACAGTTCTGAGGGCACGCTTCCTGTTGAAGTGATACAAGAACGCTGACGGCAGCGACATGGCCAAGGCGCGACTTGTCATCCAAGGTTTTCGTGACCCAGATGCGATAGCAGGTAAATTGACCGAATCCTCACCTACAATGACACGACTGAGCCGGACCGTCATCGTGATGTTCAGCCGAATCTACGATTGGAACCTGTTCACAGCCGACGTCAGCACCGCGTTCCTGCAGGGGAAGCCCTCGGACAGTGGCATTTCAGCACTTCTACCATCGGAAGTGTGCAAGATGCTCGGCTACATGCCTGGTACGACGATGAGCCTGCTCAAGAGCATGTATTGCTTGGGCGACGCCCCGAGGCTCTGGTAGGAAGAGGCGACCGACCGCACGATTGACTGCGGCTTCGTGACTCACCCGCTGGACCCTGGCCTGTTCCTCAGCTACCGCGTCCAGGAGGGCACTCAGAAGAAGAAGCTCAACGGAGCGATCGGGCTACACGTCGACGACATGCTTGGGGGCTGCAGCAACGAGAGGGGCGAGGTGTGCTTCGAGTAAAGGGTCCAGGAGCTCAAGCAAGTATTCAACTTCAGGACGTAGGAAGATACGGAGAATGGCACGCTGAACCGTGCAGGAGATACGTCAATTGTGGCAACCAGCTCAGTCGAAGGCCGGATGGAGATTACCAGGTGAGTTGCGAGGCCTACGTCAAGCAGCTGAAGCCCAGAACAGTTACGAAGGCTAGGGCGAACGACCACAAGTTGGCCATTACCAAAGGCGAGCGTCGACAATTACGAGGACTGATGGGCAGTCTAGCGTGGCCCAGCACCCAGGCAGCACCTCACTTGCAGTGCAGCGTCAGCCTAGGCCAGGGCACGATCAACGACAGCGCCATCGTACAGGACCTCATTGAGGCCAAACAGACGCTGAGGTTCGCCAAATCGAACAGTGACGTGTGCCAGCTCTTTCCCAAGATATGCAACAATCCCGACGACGTGGCTGTCATGTGCATGACAGATGCCGCGTGGACGGTACGGAGAGACGGCAGTTCAAAAGGCGGCTATTTGATCATGGCCTGGCCACTCACAAGGACGTGCTGAAGGGCGCGACCGTCAAGTACGTAGTGGTCGACTGGCGATGTTGGAAGCTACCGAGTCTGAGCAGGTCCTTGTTGGCTAGCGAGGCCCAGGCTGGCGCAGGTGGAGTCGACGCTATGGAGTACGTGAAGGTGTACTACAGCCTGATGCTCAACACTAGCCGGGACCCGAGGCTCAAAGCCACCATGCAGGTGCTTGACAAGAGCGTGCTCGTGGTGGACGCGAAGGCATTCTACGACGCTGCGCAGAAGCCCCATATGCAAGACTTCGACGACAAGCGGACTGGCATCGAGGTGCAGGTGCTGCAGGAGCGCATGATGGCGAGTGCAACTGGCTGGCACTGGGTCAGCTCAGAGCGCCAGTTCATGGACGGTTTCACGAAGCTGGCGGCGCGACAGCTACTGGCCGACCGCCTCAGATCTGGGACGATCAGCTTGTTGTATGTTGACAAGTTCCAGGCTGCCACGAAGAAGACCGCTAGGGACAGACAGATGGAGGAGGAGAAGAATACCATTCCGACCATTCCGAAGCTCAAGGCAGTGGAGAAGGCCGTGGCAGCGACAAGCTTCGTTGGCATGGCAGCTGGAGTAGGCAACCTGGACACGTACCGGACGAAGGAGTACGACGGTCTGGTGAGTTTCGTGTGGCACGACACCCCCACGATCATGATCAGCATTCCCCTGATGACCACGATGAAGTGGATGATGAACGTCATCGTAGCTATCATGATCGTGATCGGAATCTATTATGCGAGGTGCCGTGACAAGGCACAGACTGCGGAGTGCCGTGACAGGACACAGACTACGTACGGAGTGCCGTGACACGGCACAGACTGCGGATATCATCCCGAGCGAGAGCGAGACGAAGGATGGTGAAGAAGCAGAATAGAACCTAGTGCGACGCCGGAGTGATGAGCCAGGTCACCTACACCAGAGTCGGCAAGGAGAGTGGAGGCCAGTACATGCACCAGGCCAAAAGGTTCACCAGGGCCTGGAAGGTGACGCGCGAGTGCGTGCAGGACTCGAGGCATCACGGTGGTTGAGTTGCCCCGGCAAAACACGTTTTGCATTCCTATAATTCCTCATGTTCTTATGCATTTCCTGATTGTTGTTTTAGTCTGACCTGGGCTGAACTGGACCGAGCTGGACTGAGCTGGACTGATCTGTGCAACGATAGCCTGCGAGCCTGTACAACTCCGGACCTGCGAACCGCGGCCCCTGACACAGGCTAGAATAAAGGTGAACACAAACGGCATGGCATTGCTGCTCCTGGCCGCTTTCGCGGAGCCATGGGCGGCGGAAGCACAACTGACCAGGACGCCCTGCCACAGGGGGGGGCGCGGGAGGAGGAGGAGGAGGAGGAGGAGGACAGGTTTCGGCTGCAGACCTCGCGGCCGCAGCCGCTCTCGAGCTGATTTCATCATGCGGCAATGTGCTCCTGGAACAGCAGGTTTCGACTTGACGCGGCGAGTTTCTCCTTCCATTAGTCAAGATGTCTTATCCCTTTCTTATCAGTGTGAAATGGGCTCCATACAATGTATGTCATATGTGCTTCGGGGCCTTGCGGCAATGTGTGTTGCTTTTCTCCCTTTTCCTTCCCCGTTCAGCATGATAGCCATGTGTAGTAGCAGAGCAGTGTAGTATAGCGAGCATGTTCATGATCTGACGCTGCTTCGGCTGATTCAGTTCGAGATGACTCTCGCACTTGGCAAAATAGGAACGCATACTTTCCTCTGGACACGCAGGGCGATAGCTTGGAGGCAGGCGAGGAGAAGTCAGCAGAGAGTTCTGGACTTCGATTCGAGAAAGGTTCGGAGACTTCGAGCGCTTCGACCAATTGACAGGAGGAGGAGGAGGAGGAAATGCAGAGGTCCCGCCGAATCGTTGACCCCGCGTAGCCGCCGAGCCGGCCAGGGGCTCGCCAGTGAGGGCGCGTCTGGTGCAGCTTGCGCCTCCCAGGAGGTGCGCGCGGCGGTGGCGCGCTGCTGGTGCGACCTGGCATCAGACACGGCCCAGACCTCCCCGAATGCTTCCCCCTCCTCCTCCTCTTCCTCCTCCTCCTCCTGCTGCTGCTGATCCTCCTCCTCCTCCTCCTCCTCCTCCTCCTCCTCCTCCTCGTTCTCCCCCATGATCCAGCTCGTTCTCCTCATCATAGTCCTCCGTCTCCTATCTCTCAGTCTCCTCCTCCACCTCCTCTTGTTCCTACGTATCACTTTCCTCCTCCTCCTCCTCCTCCGACCATGAAGACGTATTGCTCCACCTCGTCCAAGACCAAACAAAAAACTAAGCGGATGGAGCCGCCCCGCCCAAATCGTTTCTCACACCTCCTCCCTGTCCTGGCGCTCCCATCGCCCTCATCGACCGGGCGGTGCCCCCTCCTCGCGCCTTGTCATCTCCTGGAGGTGTGGAAGGAGGAGCAGGAGGGCGAGAGGAGGAGGCGGAGGACAAGCGTCCAACAGGGTGGAGAGGAGGTGTCAGAGGATGATGAGGTGGGACAGTGAGAGGGATGATCCGACCACATGGTGGCCAACGCAAAAGTAGGACGTGCAGGAGCAGGGCGAGGAGAACGCAGGAGCGGTACGCTTAGCCCCGCACCTGCGCCAGCCCAGGCTTGCGCACAGCAGACAGAGCGTCTTGCCAGTGCCCGTGGGCGACTCCAACAGCGCGTTCTGCCCAGCGTCGAGAGCCTCCGGCGGCGCTTCTTCCTCATCCTCCTCCTCCTCCTCCTCCTCCTCCTCCTCCTCCTCCTCCTCCTGCTCCTCCTCCTCAGCAGCAGCAGCATCAGCATCAGCACCATCAGCATCATCAGCATCATCAGTAGCACCATCATCATCAACAGCATCATCAGCATCATCAGCATAATCAGCATCATCAGCATCAACAGCAGCGTCATCGTCAGCAGCAGCATCATCAGCATCATCATCAGCATCATAATCATCATAAGCATCATAAGCCTCATCATCATCATCATCATCATCATCATCATCATCATCATCATCATCATCATCATCATCATCATCATCATTATCATCACCATCACCATCATCATCATCATCATCATCATCATCATCATCATCATCATCATCATCATCATCACAATCATCATCATCATCATCATCATCATCATCAGCCATCATCATCATCAGCATCATCATCATCATCATCGTCATCGTCATCGTCATCGTCATCGTCATCATCATCATCATCAGCAGCAGCATCATCGACATCATCGTCATCATCATCATAATCAGCAGCAGCAGCAACACCACCACCATCGTCATGATGATCATCATCATCATCATCATCAGCAGCAGCAGCATCATCAGCATCATCATCAGCATCATCATCTGCAGCATCAGAATCATCAGCAACAGCATCAACATCAGCAGCATCATCATAATCACAACCACCATCACCGTCACTATCATCAACAGCATCATCAGCATCATCAGCATCATCAACAGCAGCATCGTCAGCAGCATCATCATCAGCATCAGCAGCACCATCAACATCATCGTCATCAACACCAGCATCAGCCTCATCATCATCATCATCCAAGCATGGACGATTTCATCGTCGTGTCAGCAGAAATGCCGCTGGTGGTCCAGAAACGAGACGCAGCCTACAAGCAATGGAAATCCTCATCCTCCTCATCCTCCTCCTGATCCTCCTCCCCCTCCTCCTCCTCCTCGTACTCCTCAGTTTCCTCCTCCTCCTCCTCCTCCACCTCCTCCTCCTCCTCATCGTCATCATCAGCATCATCATCATCCTCATCATCATCAGTATCATCATCATCATCATCATCACCATCAGCATCATCATCATCATCATCATCATCATCATCATCATCATCATCATCATCATCATCATCGTCATCATCATCATTCCCCTGACCGCTCCTGGGAGAAGGTGGAAAGACGAGGAGGGCGAGGAGCAGGAGGACGAGGAGCAGCCTAACAGCAGTACGACGAGCATCAGAAAGGGGACGAGGAGGAGGAAGGATGAGGAGTAAGATGGAAATTACCCTGCGACGTACCCAATCCTTTCTAAGCATGTGGCGACTGTGATTACCCAGGACCGCTCAAAACCAACGAACGTCTTGAAGGACCCGCAGTGCGCAGGAGCACCCCTCCGTGCGCAGCGAGTCGCGAGGTCTCGGCTGGATCTGCGTGGCCATCCCTCCACCGTGCCTCCCAGGAGCCCACGAGAGTGGCGGCGGTTTCGCACGTCGCAGCCCCGCAAGGAGCCGCGAGGGCTCGTCTGGGTCTGCGTGGCCCTCCACGCCGCTGGACCTCCCAGGAGCCCACGAAAATGGCGACAAATCGCACTTCGCAGCCCCCCAGGGAACTGCAAGATTTCGGCTGGGTCTGCGTGGCCCTCCACTCCGCCGTGCCTCCCTGGAGCTCACGAAAGTGGGGGCAGTTGCCCACTTCGAAACCACCCAGGGAGCCGCGAAGTCTCGGCTGAGCCTGCGTGGTCCACCACTCTGCTGTGCCTCAGGGGAGCCCGCGAAAGCGGCGACAAAATCGCACTTCGCAGCCCCCCAGGAGCCGCGAGATCTCGGCTGGGTCTGCGTGGCCCCACACCCCGCCGTGCTTCCTAAGAGCCCACGATGAGTGGCGACAGTTTCGCACTTCGCAGCCCCCCCGAGAGCAGCGAGGAGGAGTTGAGACCACAGTGCTCTAGTCAAAACGAGAACCCAACACGGGATGGTTGGGGGAAAATGATGAGACGGAGGAGGATGACGATGACGATGACGATGAGAATGAGGATGAGGATGAGGATGAGGATGAGGCGGAGGAGGAGGAGGAGGAGGAGGGTCGCCCACAAATTGAACGCGTGCACTTGAAGAATCGAATCGGCCGATACGACACGCAAGCCTTGGCAAACAGAATCGAACACTTCGCTCCCTCGCCCGTCGCCCTGCTTCTCAGGGATGCTTGCCATGCCCCAGACGCCACACCGTGGACCCCCAGAGGTCACGATCCCTTCTCCAGGAGAGGACTTTCACCCTGGGTCGTTTTCGGACGGCCCCAGGGCCCAGCAAGGGTCCGCAGAGGCCGAAATGGGGAAAAAAACGTCCATCGCGATGTTTCACGACGCGATGGTGGCTGGGTCCTCCTCGTCTGGGGGTCAAAAATCGAGCCCCGGACCCATCCAGGCACGCATTATGGCCAGAATTTCGAAGCGACTCTGACCGTGGCGGCGGGAAGCACCCAGGAAGCCCGATAAAGCGAGAAACGCGGAAAAAAAGTGATCATCGTGAATCGATCGTCGAACCACGAATCTCGAACATTTGTCGTGCCATCTCTATAGACGACGGTCCTAGTGCCCGAGATGGCCTTCTTACAAGAATCTCTGAGCCCATCCTGGGGTGCGGTCTGACCAGGATATCGAGGCGGATCCAACCGTGCCGAAGAGGTGGCCCACTGAAGAACCTGTCCTCGAACCTCGGTATTCGAACCTTGGTCCTTGAAAAATATCGGGTCGTCGCGGGTATGGGGAGGGGGCATCCTTGGTCGCGGCACGCAATCGGAGAGCCCTGGGGACAGGGGCAGACTTGCTTCGTAGCACAAATCGAGAATCGAAGGGCGAATTCTAGACCCACGCTCCCGTTCAAATGTTATGGAACATTGGACGCAGGCGAGGGAGCGGTTAAACAAATCAACCTGGCGCAGTGCACGCAATGCAGCACTACAATCAAGTCAAACCCGACATACTGCGTCACACCCCGTAACATACCGCAGCAACAGCTGCGCATGAATCACAAATATTGTTGCCGTCAACTCGAAAGAACATAACCATCAGACAGCAAAGACATAGGGCCAGGGCGAGTGATACTGCCAGGGGCAAGCACGTTGACATAACTATTGACAGGGGCAGGAGGAAGGACAAGGAAAGCAACAAAAACAAAGCCAAGACAGAGACAGGACAAGACAGGATAGAACAGGACAGGCACAGCGACAGCGACAGGGACGGGGACAAGGACAGGTCAGGAAATGATAAGAGAAGGCGGGATGCACAGGGACAGCAATAGCGACGGGCAGGGACAGCGACAAAGATTCGACATGCGCTAGGATGATAACAAGATAAAGCCTCAACCCTTCTATTCCTGCATCTCGCCCCTCTCTTTCCGCTACGCTGCAATCGGAGAGACATCTAAACGATCTGCTGTGCATCTGAAGCCTGCCCGACGCTCGAGAAGGACGCGGCGGGCAGGTGAGAGAAAGACGGAGCCTCTCTGGAGGCTCGCGCTGGCACTGCGGACTCAGTATCCAAGGCGAGGGCTGGCCACGGGGGAGAGAAAGGACTGCGGAAAATGCGGGAGATCGGCTTTGTGGACCAAAGCCTCAACCCTTCTATTCCTGCATCTCGCCCCTCTCTTTCCGCTACGCTGCAATCGGAGAGACATCTAAACGATCTGCTGCGCATCTGAAGCCTGCCCGACGCTCGAGAAGGACGCGGCGGGCAGGTGAGAGAAAGACGGAGCCTCTCTGGAGGCTCGCGCTGGCACTGCAGACTCAATATCCCGTCACCCCAATCTTCGCAGCAGCGCTGCGCTCCCGGCTCAGCTCCGACACGAACAGGAAGAACGAACTGAAGACGACAACGAACAAGTGCGAGACCAGGAAACTGATCACAGATTTTTGGAAGCCCACAGAGACCCAGATGAAAGAGAGGATCACGAGGGGGGCCTCATGGAGCACCACAAAGAAGGCCAAGACGAAGCAGGGATCCCGTCGCGAACCCACGTAACAGCCTGCGTCCACATCCAAGATACCTGAGAGCCCATCTGGAAGATTCCCGCCCTGGTCGCCTCTGGAAGCTCGGACATATAGGTGGTAGAGACCAGTTCCTGGAGGTAGATGAGCATGACCTTCTGAGACATCCAACGGCCCCTATTCTGGACAAGATGCGGATCATCCGTTTCCAGAAAGAGCTGGGTAGCGCCCCCCGCTCGGAGAGAGGCAAGATCGAGAGCCCCTCTGCACTTCCCCCCCAGGTTGAGAGGAAGCCGCAACTCCCGGCAGAGGCTGTTGAACCGCTTCCTGAAGGTCTGGCCGCTCATCGGCCAGAGCAACGCCTCCGGAGGCGCGGCGCCGAAGATGCAGTCCAGCATCTCGACAATGTCGGGCGGCTCCACCAGGGCGCTCTGGGTCTTGGCCCCGAGCGTGGCCGTCTTCGGCAGTTGGATGGCGAACAGCGCGAACGGCCTCTCGAAGATGTCACGCGGCAGTACCAGCTGGGCCCGCTTTGCTAGCAGGAACTCGCTTGGGCGCATGACGCCAGCAAACCCCGCAGCGAGCAGCACCGCGATCCGGGGCCACCCCCACAGGAGGCAGAGGCCGGTCAAGGCCTCCAGGACCACCAGCGGCATGGCAACGTGGTGGTTCCCGGGCTCGAGGGCAATCCACTGGTACCCGAGGTCCCACGCCGCCCCAAGCAGCTTCCTGAGTTCTGGCGCCCGAGAGGCCACGGCGTTCACGGTGTCAGCAAACCTGCTGTAGGGGGCCTCCTCGCACCACAGAAACTGGCCGAACTCAACCAGAACTCCGTTGATGATGCGAGGGTCCCCCATCGTCTGCTCCAGCAAGCTCGCCAGACAAGGGTAACCGGCAACCTCTAGTAGCCACTGGTCGAATTCAATAAGTAACTTTTCTCTGGAACGGCGGGTAGCCGCACGAATCGGACGCCCTGAAGGTAAAGGAACTGCACGACGATCAGCAAATTCAGGATCATGTTTAGCATGACGAGATCTTCCAAAATGTCGCATAGCGGGGCTGGAGGGACCTCCAGCCGGGTCAGCAGATAAGTGCCAGCCAGACTCAAAAAGAGACCAGTTCTGCTCCAAAATGGTGCACCGGCCAGCTTTGCGATCGTGCAGGTGTCAATGATGCAAGAGCCCTGCGCGATGAAACACAGGAGCGAATTCACTCTTCTCCGACTTCACTGGAACACGAGTCACTCCAGACGCCGTCCAGCGGACTCCGCCCGAGCCCTGCCCAGGCACCCCGCAGAGGGCGGGCGCTGGGGGCAGGCGACGCCCCTCGTCGAGGGCGGTTCGCAGCGCCCGTAGCCCGCTGCTCCCCAGCAACAGGCAGACAAGCCGCAGCCACGCAGCGCAGGCCTTGGCTGTGGGCAGCCGCGTCAGCAGCCAGTCCAGCAGGTCCGCGTGCTCCAGCCAGTCAGGCCTCGGTCGGCATGCTGCGCGGACCGCCTGGTGCCGCGTCGGGCCGTCTGCAACGTTGAGCCGCGATGGGGCGAAGGAGTAGGAGGGGTAGAGGGACCCGGCGATCTGGAGGGCGCAGGACTTCTCCAAAGGTCGAGTCAACGCCCTGCTCGAGGACCGCCCCTTTGCCTGAGAACACAACGTGACCCTGGAATCAATAAGCGCAGCGAACCTACGATCTCCTCCATTACGAACAGGACCCTCCAAGAGATTCACGACGACGTTCGACTCCAAGATGTTAATGTGCCCTGGGGACCTCCAAGCCCATCTTCTAAGCTCCTCCCAAGACCCCGACATCAGCAGCTCGTTGATCACAAGCCGCTCCGAGCCCACCGGGGGCCGCATACTATCGCCTACCTCTCGACGCCGTCTGATAGCCTCCAGGTACCGAGCTCCCAACGCCACGACGACCCCTCGAGTATATGTAGCTGTGTATTTAGTAGCCGCTCCCTCGATAACCGTGTGCGTGTGGGCGCGATGGCGCCGTGTATTAGGACAGCGCGCCGCCATCTCAGTGAACTCGGGGAAGCCCACGGTCATCCAGCGGAATTCCTTGCGGTAGACGACGACACCATCGAGGGCAGGGTCATGGTAGGCACAGGAGGCAAACCAGGTCTCGGCGGCCCCGAGCGTCAGGAGGCGAGACCACTCCTGCAGCCAAGCCATCTTAGACAGGCGGGGCTGCTCTAGCCCTCCAGGAGCCCCCACGCGGAGCCCAACCAACATAAGTAGCATACAGCGGAAGGCCAGCAGGTTGCCCAAGCGCGTCTCGGGGTCAGAGCGATTGAAGCCGATCGGCTGACGGTAGGAGCGGACAGCGGGGTGAGCAGCTGGCGAGAACGTCGTACACGGAGGCTCCGCAGCAAAGGTGAGGATGCGGCCCTCATACAGCATCCACACCGCCCACTCCATCAGGCGGCACGACGATAGGTCAAAATGCCGAGAATACGACATGTCAATGACAGGCCCGACTAGGACACCCTGGGACGCGAGGTACCGACTGAGGACACCAGAGCCGCCGGCGAACTCGATGAAGTCAAAGACCATGGCGATCCCGCGGCGGACGTAGGCGGGGAGGTCAGACTCGACGCACTGCGCGCTCTCCATGAAGTGGGGGAGCGCGCCGGCGCCTCGTAGGACTCCACAAGCCCGACTGTCCAGACGGGAATAGCCGCCTCGACGTTCACCACAGCGCCAAACGGCCGCCGACAGCGAGGACGAAACTCCCAGCGCACAGATGGCCCCAAAGGATGGAGAGGCGTCGGTAGCGTAGATGACGTCACTGAAGGGGACGGTAAGGTCCGTCTCGGCGGCGATAGACAGCACAGATGCCAGGGCAAGCTCGTCCTTGACAGTGCGAGGGATAACGTGATCGACGGTGCGGTCCTGGGCGACGAAGCTATATACGTGGTTGAGGCAGACGAACAGTGGCCGACGGTAAGCGAACACCGCTCCCAGGGAGCCCACTAGCGTATCCACCAGCGCCACGGGGGCTCGAGGAAGTTGAGCAGCACGAAGACAGAGCTCCGCCAGCGGCAGACGCCGCTCGACGGGCGCACCCACTGGCACGTACCCCTGTTCTACCATTATTGCCGAAGAGTCGACCTCAGCGCCGACAACCACGAAGCGCTCGGCGTCCCTGATCTCCTTGGAGGAGCTGCCTGACAGCGAGGAGTCTACGTAAGCCAAGCGCCCCGCACGATCGAAGAGCTCCAAATCCCGACGAGACTCACCTGGAGGATAAGCGTGACGCCCAATAACAAGATAGTCGTCAATGCACAAGCCCTCGACCACGTCACCACGTGGGAAGGGGGCACGACCATCAATGAAGTTCTCGGGCGCAAGCAGACCGTAGCTCCTGAGAAGATTGAGGTGGCCGCCCTGAGTGACGTCAACGGCAGCGTGGTCTCCCATTGGATTGGAAGCCAGGGTGCCGTGCACGAACCCCGAAGCGCGCGGGCCAGCATCTGACCCCGCAGGCTCCAGAAGAAATCTGTCACCCAGAGAAGCGCGACGACCCAGACGACCTGGACGACCCTGAGCAGCAGCAGAATGAAGACGTTCAGGATCGACACCAAGGGACTTGCGTAGCTGGTCTACCCGCAGCGCTGGACCCAGGACGTTAGTAGCGGCGCGCTCAGGTGTGACGTGCTCCTGATAGAACATATCCCGACGATCAGTAGACGAACCCCGAAGACATTCAGAACCCCGAACAACACTATGTTCACAGAGCCGGGCACCAGCTGCGAGGTGAGAGGCGGGCCCCCCCACGATCTTCGCCTCCTGGCCGTTGGGGCCCCTCTGGTCGATGATCAACCGGTCGCGCGAGGCGTTCTTCCACACGTTGAACGGGTTACACTGCTCATGGGCAACCACAGGGCCCTCCGTGAACCCAAGGAGCCCCACCTTGTCCAGCTTCTGGAAGAAGGCCAACTGCTGGGCCCGATGGGAGCTTGCTGGCGTCCCCCCACTGGTACGACGCCGGGTCAACCCGGCTAGTACGCAGGACCCCCGGCTCGTCGAAGGCCAGGGACAGCGGAGGCTCCAAGAAGTCCCCGATAGGCCAGCGAGCGAGAGGACCCTCGAGGACCAGACGATCAGGACAAAGAGGGGCATAGGCTCCCGGGACAGGGTGAACTCGTCGGGGGCCCTGAAGACCGTAGGGATCAACAGCTCTGAGATGATCTGAAAGCGCACGTGCATAACTGTCGTCGGTATCTGATTGCTCAACGTCCAATTCACCAACACTGCGAGAAGACAGTTCTCCATGTTCCTGAAAGGCACCAATAGCATCGCTAAAGAGATGTGAAGTAGAATCGGCTTTGCGACCGGCGAAGAGAGAATAGGGGTTAATTCCATCACGAAACCAGCTCCAACATATCAAACGCAGACGATCCAGGCAAGCTTTTTGCACAGGGGACGCTGGTGACCGAAAGAAGGAAAGGTCACGGGGCCGTGTCGGCCGCCCCTCATACACGTAGTTCAACGCACACACGAGGACGAGGAGCAGCTGGCCGACCTTCGCGTCGAAGTCAGCGTAGCCCCCCTCCCTGCGAGCCGCCCCTTGCAGCCCATCAACAGGAGGAAGAAGAAGTGGAAAGACTGGCGCGGCGCGCGATGCCTCAGCAAGCTGCCGCTGCTGAAGCTGCGCTGCAGCGCAAACGGAAGCCCCGATGCACGACGAGAAGTTCGTCTTCAGGGCCCGCAAACGACGGAGTAAGGACCCGCTCCACGAAAGCGGTGCGACCACCTCGCCACGCTGCTGATCATGATGGCGAGGGTCGGCGGGCCCTGGCCAGAGGAGCCGTCCGTCAGGGGCTCCTCCAGTGTCCCTCTCTCGGTCTCGGGAGGTCCTCAAGCCGGCGATGCCGGCTTTGGCCTCCTGCGTGGCGGCCGCGGCTTGGCGCCGGCCTCCGCGGCCCCGCCTCCAGGGCCGAGCACACCGGCGCCTTCGGGCTGCTGGTGTTCGGGGGCCCCGCGGGCCCTGGGCACCGGCGTCCGCCCCTGAGGCCGCTGGAGCTCGCTCCTCCGGGTCTCCAGCAGGTCCAGCCCCCGCAGGTAGGCGAGGTTCACCGTGGACCACCGCGGGTTCGCCAGCGAGCTGAACTGCCGCGTCCCCACCGCGGACTGCCCGCCCCTCGCGAAGAGCGAGGCGGGCGGGTCGCGCTCGAACTGGTACAGCCACATCATGTCGAGCCGGCCCCCGTCGATCCTGGCCTGGTCCAGTCCCATCAGCAGGAGCGCGGCAGAGTCCGCGGCCTCGGTGATCTGGTTCATCCACAGGCGGTCCACGATGTCCGCCACCTGCCACGCGATCAGAGCGAGGTCCCGCACCGTGTTGGGGCTGCCGGGCGTGAACTCGGACCACCCGCCAGTTCTCTCGAGCCAGAGGCGTGGTTCGGGCGGATCGTATGCGACGCCTCGAGGCTGGCGCGAGGAGCGGCCCTGCGCGGCCATGGTCTCCATCAACGACCTGGAGAAGCTGCCTGGAGTGGTCCGCCTTGCCGCGATGAGCGCCTCGCGGTGGGCCGCGCCTCGCACGCCGGCCCCGATGTTGCCGCCCCCGAGGCCCATGAGGTCGTCGTTGCCCCCGGAGCCGCCCTCCTCGCCGCGCTGGCTGAAGGCCCTGGCTGCGCCCATCAGGGCAGCCGCGAAGCGCTCCATCTCTGTGCCGCCCACGGCCGCGTCGTCCTCGCCCTCCTCGGCGAAGTCCTCCCCAGTCCCAGGGAAGGCCCCCGCGGGCGCGGCCGAGGGCCCAGGGGGGGCTCCGTGACGGCCGAGGACGGCCTGCCAGGCCGCCGGCGACCCGAAGCCCGCGGCTCCGCTGCGCGAAGGCGGCCCAGGCGGCGGCGCCGCGAGGCTGAACGCCGAAGGCGCCGCAGGCGGCGCGACGAGGCCGAAGGCCGTGGGCGGCGAGCGCCCTGGGAGGGCGCCTCCACTCCCCAGCAGCGGAGCCGCTGCCACCTTCCCGACGGCGGGGCCAGCCAGCGGCCCTCCTGGCGGGGCCGCTCGCGGGAGGGCGGGCTGCGGCGGGCGCTGCAGAGCGGGCGGCCTCCCAGGCCGCCGTGGCGGCGGCGCGAGCGGCTCGTCCGACTCCGCGAAGCCGTCTCGCAGCACGCCGGCCACTCCCGCTGCCTCCCTCGCGGCAGGCTGCTCGGCGGCCTCCTCGGTGACCTCCACGAACTCGGCTTCCTCCTCCCCCGCAGTGAAGAACTCCGCGAAAGCCTCCTCGCCGAACTGCGTGCGGAAGGCGCGCGCCGACTCCTCCAGCACCGAGCGCCCGTGCGGCCAGTGCCGCGCACGCGGAGTGAAGTGACGCAGGAGCCGCTGCGCGTGCTGCTCGTCTTCGTAGTAGATGGCCTCCGGGACCAACTCCGTCAGCACCACCTCGTCGACGTCCACAAGGAGGATCTCGGAGGACACTGTGGCCAACGCGCTGGCAGGGTTGGCCAGTCCTGCTCCTCGGACCCTGGTCCTGACGAAGGGTCCTAGAGTATGACCCTCCTCCTGCTGACTCGCGACGAGCTCGCTCTCCAGGATGCTGCCACCTGGGACTGCGAGCATGAGGCCCCCTCGGCGCCGACGCACCAGTGCAGCAGCGACCGCTACTCCGTCTGGAGCGCCCTCCTCCTCGCCACGAAGCCATATGAGTCGAGTGTAGGCGTCGGGCGCATCGCTGACGGCCACCACCCCGTCGACGGTCCTGGCCTCCATCAGAACTGGTATCCAGCGAGCCGCCGACGGTTAGCGTGATTGTTCGGCGCCTGGACCTGATCCTCGTGCCTCCTGCGCGCGGCGGCGTGGTCGCGCCACCACCAGGCCAGGCCCGCGGCCGCCGTGGAGCAGCCCACACAGCAGAGCACGCAGCTGCCCCCCAGCAGGAAGGCGAGCACGAGCCCCCACAGCGGCCAGCCCTCTGGAGGACAGGCGCACGTGAAGGCAGGTTGTGGCCCCGCGGGCGGAGCAGGACTGCTCCCAGGCCGACCGAAGCCCGACAGCCAGTAGCCTCCAGCGGCGGCCAGAGGGATGAGGACTGCGGGGCCGAGCGCGCTGGCGCCCAGGGCGGTGGCCGCAAGGACCACGTCGACCATGCGCGGGCGCCCCGCGCGAGAACCCCCCCCTATGAGAGAAAGGACTGCGGAAAATGCGGGAGATCGGCTTTGTGGACCAGGGCAGGAGAGGACCCGGCAGGACACGAGAAAACATAATAAAACGACAAGAACTGGAAAAGTAAAGCAAGACAAGATCCGACTAGACTGGACCAGGCAGCCAGGCAGGTCAGGCAGGGTATACAAACATATTGGGCAAGTAGGAAAACCAGACAAACCAGTTACGAACCATAAACAGACCACAAGACATGCACACTGAATCCGCCACCGTGCCTTCAGCACGTAGTAAAAAACCTCAAGGCTCATACAGCTCTCAAAATTAATTGAAGGCTTGGTTCTCAAAAATCAAGACCCCCCATGTTTCAGACGCTCGTTGGTGCCCTGTCTCCTTAGTTAAAGCTGTGCGTAGCCCGCCTAGCTTTTAGCGGAAGAGGTTCGCTCTCGCCCCGCAGATCAAAAATGTTTCAGACGCTCGCGGGCGCTCCTGGGGTGTTCCGCGTGGGCCTAAGGGACGGTGACCCCGCGCAGGAAAGCCCCGAAACTGGCCAAAAGGGGCCCGAGGAGCATCCCAAGAGAGACAAATCGCCCCGTACCCTGAAGAAACTGTGCATGTGTGGCATCTCCGTCTTCATCGTCATCATCGCGCCGACGACGGCCCCGAGAGACATCCACGATGGGCCGAAGGCCATTAGTATAATGACACTCGACAGGATAAATGTAGAGAGAAGACTAGCATACCAAACGGGACCAGCTTAAACACGTCCAGACCGAACAGGTCAAGACGGGACATTACAGGACACGCGCGGTCAGGGCAAGACAGATCACGAGGGTGAAAAACAACTGTAGCTAAGTATGATATCGACCTCTAGCTGCCTCGCTCGTGCGCTGCGCTGCACGCGCGAATGAATCCCCCAGCAATTCTCTGAAGACTAGAGCCCGAAACGCGTCGCCGTTGGAAAAAGGCTGATGGAGAATACACCGAGGATCAGGCCGATAGACGGACAAGTCAGGACGGAACCGCGGCCAGGGCCAGGGGCAAGGCCAGGAATGGGGCCAGGGCCGGGACCAGGATGGAGCCTTGACCAGAACGGCCACACGCAGGCCTGAACCTCGGACGTCTCACTTCCAGGGAAAGCCCATCCCACGTCCGCCAGTACGGTTGGTAAGATTTGGCCTCCTCTCACACCGCCGTCCTCCCTCCCCTCGCCCCTGCCCCCCTTCGTCCATCCAGCCTCTTCCCTTCTCTCGAACCGCTACATGGGTGGCCCCGACCGTGAAGGTGGGCACCACTTCAGGAGCAGCCAAGATCTCAGGCCAAGGCCAGGACAGGACCAGAACCAACGCAGTGCGCGGCGCAAGGGCTGGCTGTCGCGATCCGCTTGCTGCATTTTTGTGGCTAGAGGGCTCCACAAGACGAGCGTGGAAAACAGCAGCTAAACCATGACGCCCTACTTGGATCTCGAGGAGCATCACCCACAAGAATAACCTGTTCGGAGGTCCGCACGAATCTCTTGGGCCGGCACTGGGCATCTCTTCCCTGTCGCGCGGAGCGTGCCAAGGGGCGGCGCCGAAGGCGCCGCCCAAGGGAGGCTGAGAGGGGGCCCAGCGCCGACCCAAGAAATCCGCGCGGACCTCCGCAACGTCATGCTCGTGCTGATGTTCTGCCCTCGATCTGTCGTGCCGCGCCCGCTCCAGCCAGCTCCCGCGCAGTCTGCCGCTGGGCACCTCTGATGACTTAGGCACCGCAACGCGGCGGGGACGCCTAGCTGCCCCAGAACTTGCCGCGGCTTGCCCCTGGGGGCGGGGGCGCGGGCCGGTAGCCTTGGCGCCCCGCTCCCTCGGGGGGCTCGCGCGGGTCGTCGCCAGCGACCTCCATGGTGCGTTGGCACCTCTGGGGGAGGGCGCCCCTCCCTGGGCTTCCAGCCGACTGGTTCTTTTTCAGTGCCAGCGTGGTTCTTCGATTTCGGCCTCAGGGGCCACTGTCGGACCGTCACAGACGGATCCGCAATGAAAACTTGCCCCTGGAGAGGGAGTCGAGGCCCCTGGGGCCCACGGATTGAAAAATCAGTCCGTCGGAAGTCTGGGTCTGTAGACGTCCGAAGGGAAGGAGAGGCCGCCGACCAGGGCACTCCCCCGCTGCCGACCCCAGGGGCTGTGGGAGACGGCCAGCCCACCTCCCTCATTCCCTCTCTCTCCCTCTCTACCTCCCCCTGCGCCCCGTCCTCCTTTCCCCTCCCCACCTCCCGCTTTGCCTCACTCCGAGCCCACCCATCCCAGGAGAAACACCGACCTCTTCGCAAGCGCAGCGAGGTCCAAGGAGTCCGGGCTCCCGCGGGTAACGAAGACGACCACATGCCCGCTGGTGTGGTGCGGGCGCTCCGTGACGCGCACCCCACCGAGCACTACCTGCTGCTGGGGGTGCAAGCGCAGCGAGAAGCTGTGCAGCGTCCACGTCTGAACCATCTCGGACCTTCCCAGGAAGTCTCAAGAGCGGGGCGCTACAATCGAGCCCGTCGGCTGGCGCGATGTAGTGCGAGAAGGAAGATGAGGAAGTGAGGAGGTGAGGCTGCTCGCACGGGCAGGTGTGTTGAGCGCATCTGTCTGTGTAAAGATCCACCGCACTGACTGAAGTTCCCTCAAGTACCTTCGAAATCTCTCTGGGGGTCCCACTTGCCCGAGACATCCTCGGAGAACGACCCGAGTCCCAAAACCCTGCGGTCACCCGAGTCACCGCTAATTTACCAGATGGTGCGATCACCACACCGTTTTGGGGGCCTCAATCTCTATTAAACACATGGGGTACCACAAAGAGATTTGAAAGACGCTGTAAACCCGATCAAAAGCGAGATCGACGAGCTTACTAAACGAAAAGGCCTACTGGAAGCCAGCTACTCCTCCAGGCCGGCTTCGGCAAGGTCTGCATCCGGAGCGTCCGTGGATACCGACGCGCAGGCAAAACTCACAGAACTTGAACGTGAAGTTGCCCGACTCCGTGAACAGGGAAACAAGTCTTCAGACGTTGGTGGTAAACTTACGTACAACACCAGCGACAAGAAAGGCATCACGGCGGTGGTCGGCAACCTCGATGGTTTCACCTCCCTTGAGGACGCCTCCAAATGGTTGCAGACGGAGCCGAAGAAGCTGGGAGCCCCAGGATACACGAATGTGTATTCAAAAAGCAATTTCGAGAACATATGCTTTTGCGAGTTCGAGACCACAGAGGCCCGGGATACAGCAGTGGCGCAAATCCGGAGCGCGAAGCTGCAACGCAATAGTAAGACAGTGTGGTCGACCCAAGACCGCCCGCCGCTAGATCGAGCAGCTCGCAACCTTTGCTTTGGCCTGAAGTACTTCCTCAAAAACACAATGAACATGGAGTACGCAAATACGAGTTACAGGCCAAAACCCCTACACGGTGGAAGTGGGAGGCGAGCTCGCCCTCACAGTAGAAGTTGACGGACAAAGTACAAAGAAGGAGTGGTCAAACAACTGGGACACATGGACAGAGCTGCACGACCACCCAGACTTCAAGCAATTATTGGCGGCTTGCGATGGCATTGCGCAGAGGGCAGCCCGAGGAATGAAAGGCGCATCCAAAGGCAGTCGACAATAGGAAACACGGCAGGTGCTGACCCTCACCAGCACCGCAGCCGACACGAGAGCCGCCGACATCCCCAAGGGTATCTCATCTTCTGTCTCACTCAAGGTTTTCGCTGGCACCCTCGATGCGGACCCGGAGCCGGACGTTATCAACGCATCCGCTGATGCCATTTCTCTGGCCGTTCGTCCAAACACTACAGATTTCGACTCTGATCGTTATTTGTTCGACCATCCAGGCGAGGGCAAAGATACCACGACCAGGCATGGCAATACCCAAACACAGGGCAAAGATACCTACGCCCCGATTGTTTCACCACCTCCAACTCCGCGACCTTCTACACGCGGCACTTCTTTACAATCTGGAACATCGAGCTTTATTACATACGTAACTTGGAATGTAAGAGGGCTTACAGATATCAAAACAGTTGAACTGACAACACACATGGCTACTTATGGAATCGACGTGCTTTGCATCCAGGAGACCAGGAAACCAAAAGCAGAAGTGTATTTTGAGCACGACCATCAGATAGTTTTATCTGGAGCAGATTGCGATGGCAACACTTGGGCTGGAGTTGGTGTTATTATTGCACCACGGCTGCGAAGATATGTCAAATCATACAAGCAAGTTTCCGACAGGATTTGTGTCCTAAAGTTGCGCGTGCAAGGTCAGACGCACGGCTTGCTGGGTGTTTATGCGCCTCACAACCCACGACCGCCAGAAGAACGCATCGAATTCTTTAACATGCTGGATAAAGAGTACCGGGCCTGCTACGCGAACTACGGCAAAGTAGTACTAGGCGACTTGAATGCAAGAGTGGGCCGAGCACGTCCCGGTGAAGATGAAATTATTGGTCTGCATGGCTGGGGAAGGGAAGCCGTGCGCGAAGTGGAAAGACCAAACAGAGATTTACTTTTCGAACTTTGCTTTGGGAATGGTTTGGTCATTGCCAACACGTTTATCGAACAACACTTTGAACAAAAAGTGACTTTCAGAGAGGCCGGGATTACCGCTCAGGCTCCGATCGACATGTTCACGCACAACATCTTAGATTTCTTCTTGTGCACGCCGGGCGCGCTAGACTCTATCAGGTCGCTCCGAAGTTGGCGTGGTGCAGCGCTCGCTACCGACCATTTCCTCGTCTCCTGCACTATGCCCGCGGACACGCAACGAAACCGCACTAAGACAGACACGGCTGCATTGGATGACGAAGAAATCCGTGGACATTTTACGGACACATTTCTTCAGAACGTCGAGTCGGAGACAAAAAATGTGCACGACATCTGGGATCATGCAAACCACGCTATGGAATGTGCAAAAGGCACGCTCCCTCACCGGGAAGTTACAACACGACAGCCTTGGACATCAAGCAGAACGTTGGACCTGATAGAGCAAAGGAGCCAGGCAAGATTACGCAACCATACGGAGGATGAAAAGAAATTGTTGAAAGAAGTGCGGAAATCAGCTAAGATGGACAAAACGGAATGGGTGGACAAGCATATCCAAGGAAGGGATTGGGCATCTTTGAAAAAAGTATGCCGGCCGAAGCCCCACCACCAAGACAGACTTCGTAATCTACGAGGCGAGCTTGTCGATAGCGAAAAGAAGGCGAACCAAATGGCCGAGTATTTGGAAGAAGTACAAAGGAAAGTCCGGCCTGCGGAAGTAGTGGATCGAGCGCCACTCGGAGACGCCCTGCCCATCACAAAAAACGATTTTTCAGACAAAAATGTTGGATTCGCTATTTCAAAATTGAAGCGGGGAAAAGCCTCCGGACCAGATGACATACCAGCAGAGCTTTGGAAGGCATTGGCCAAAGGCAGCAAAGGCTTGAAATGGATTACTTCGCTGATCAACACGTGTTGGAAGGAAAAACAGGTGCCGACGGAGTGGAGACACGCTGATGTCACGGCCATCTACAAAAACAAAGGCCCAATCGACCAGTGCGACAATTATCGCCCTATCAGCCTGCTGTGTGCTATTTACAAGTTATTGGTAACGCTATTATTGTGGAGACTACAGGACGCTGGGGCCGAAAGCAGACTAACAACGACACAGTTTGGATTCAGAAGGCGGAGGGGTACTACCGATGCAATTCATGTCGTGCGCAGACACATCGAGTTATCACACGCAGAACGGGGAGGAGCCGTAGCTATGCTTGCGCTGGACTGGAAGAAAGCATTCGACTCGATCAACGTGACCGCTCTTATGGACGCACTGCGGGTATTCGGTGTACCACCACACATGCTTTCTCTCATTTGTAATATTTATGATAACAGACGTTTCTGCGTGGCAGACGGGCGACAGAAATCAAGCATCAGAAACCAACAATCGGGAATTGCGCAGGGCTGCCCCCTATCACCGTTCCTCTTTGTCATGGTGATGAGCGTGGTTATCAAAAACGCAGAAGACAAACTGGACGAGGCATCGCTCAAAGCACTTGCCGCTGGGGATTTGTCTGTTCTGCTGTACGCCGATGACACCCTCTTGGTTGGACGGCACGCTGGTCAACTACAGTCACTGCTCGACGCAATTGCGGAAGCAGGGGCAGCAGTGGGGATGGAGCTTCATTGGGCTAGATTTCAACTTATACAGACTGGCTGCGACATACCGATTTGGGCCCCAAATGGGAACCCTATGCCGGCTACCGAACGAATGAAATATTGGGGAACATCGATATACAGTTCCGGCAACATGAAGCCAGAGTTTCATCCCAGGCAGGCCGGCAACACTTCCCCTCCTCATCTTCTGCAAAATACTATGCGCGCGCACACTCGTTTCTCAAAAACCATCCGTTTTCAGCCCATGCCCCCAAAAAAAAAAATCCGCACGCGCGCGTCGTCGCGCGCGCGTGCCGACATGCCGTGCCGCGTGCCCCTCCCAAACCTTCATCGCCGACGTGGGGACGCCGTCATCGTCGCCAGTGCGACCAGCATCGGCGCCACCACGGGCCTTGCCGTCATTGGCGACATCATCGTCACCAGGACCGCTAACATCCTCATCGCGTCTACCGTCGGGGACGTCGCCACGATTCCACGCCCGCTCAAGTCACCGAATCGCACTGACGTGCCCGCCAGGAAATGCCCAGCGGCCAGCACCACCACGGCCGCGTCGGTCGCGCCAAACTAACTGACCGCTGCGCGCGCGAGCATGCGCAGGCTAGCGAGGCCGCAGAGGTGCACCAGCTAACTCCAAGCAGTCATCGCAATCGCCCCCGCATGGGTTTTGCATGCCAAGTTGCGGGCGGGCGGGTGGGACGATTGCGCGGGCAGGGAAGTGGACAATTCACTGCGAACAGAAGTTAATGCCACCACATAGACCCTCATTGATGACAGGACTTGGGATCCACCACCACCCCATCCCACCTGGGATGCGCAATGTAATTACGATTGTGTCCCATCGCTCATGGCACACATGCTCTCATACCAACCCAACCAGGCCGGGCTCGACACCCCCATTCTCGTCCTTATCAGATACTACTACACGCACACACTTACTGCTTTGCCAAAACCATCCACGTTGCTACAAAAATGCACGCGCGCGAACGCAAATATCGTTCCAAGCATATGGTGTCGAAAAAAAAGAACGTACCAGAAGAGAGGAGAAAAAATGTTGCGCAAAAATTATAGGCGCGCGCTCTCACGAACGCAGAGAGCCCTTGGTTCGCGCGCACTGGGGGGGGCAGCGTCGGGATCGAAATCCTGCCAAAACCTTCTTTACAGACGCGGGGGCACCGTCATCGTCATCGGCGTACTCAGCCTCGGCGCCGTCATTGACCTTGCCGTCGTCATCGTCATCCTCGTTACCAGAATCGCCACTACCGTCATCGCGGCCGCCATTGTCGACGTCGCCATAATACCGCGCCCGCGCGA